TCTCCATGGCTCTGTAGTGGTGTCAAGGCCTTTAATTTGAATGCTGTCCTTACTACCACTAGATGTCTCTCTCATCTAAATCAGTGAGCAGCTATTCAACACAACCTACTTAACACTAGGCACTGGGGCCGGGGATTTAGCTCAGTGGTTCTGCTGCCTGTCTTGCAAGGTCCTAAATTTGATCCCGGTACAAAAACTAACTAAATAAATAAATAAACAAATAACACCAGGCACTGAAGGAAGGGCAGGCTAGTTCCAAAGAGCAAAGTACTTATTCATCAGTATTATGCACACGTGCATACTTTGAGGTTAACAGACAGGAAAGGCACTTTCAGAAGTCTTATGGGGAGGGAGAACTCCACACAATGAAAGAATGCTACTTATTGGAATCTGAGATTACCACACCGTTTGTAATGAACTATGTCTGCATAAAATGTGGAAGTAAAACAGGCAAAGATCCTGGGAGAAGAGCATCCAAGGAAGAGGAGACAGCAGATGCAAAGGGCCAGAGGCAGAATGAGCCAATAGTGAGAAGGCTGCAAAGACAGATTTTGCAGGTCTTAATAGAGTATGTAAATATCATTTTGAAAGAAATGAAAAAACATTTGAAGAGTCCACGATTTCTGGCTTTTGATGGAAGAACCCTCCAAATTTACTTGGATGTAATCATAAGGAAGCACCAGAAACACCCAAATGAAAAACTTCCTACTGCCCTGTGTTCTTCCAAACGTCAATATTATAAAAAAACAGAGAGTCTGGAAATCCTTTCAGAGTAAAGGAGATTAAGGGACAACTAAATGAAGTGATCTTGGGCTCACAAGGAAAAACAATGCTGTGGAGGGCCTTAGAGAACAAGGATAATATTGGAATATGGATTATAGGTTAGATAAAATTATGCTGTTACTATTGAATTTCCTGAATTTGATAGTTGATCTGTGGTTGTGTGAGATAACATTTTTTAGAGCACACACAGTAAGTCTTCAGGGAATGGGAGAGGGCTCGAGGTTTCTAAACACTCTTAGGCAGAGAGAACCTGCAAAGTGTAACCCTCACCAGCAGCGTTGCATGTGGATAAACGCCTCAGCAAGGAGGCTCGAAAGCTATGCCATGGTCCGCACAACCCTCGCTTTCCCCACCCCTCTTACATTTCTGTTCACTTCTGCACCTCATCCCCAGAGCAGTGTCCGTGCTTCCTGCATCTCTGAAGACCCCCTCAAAAGTACACAGCTGCCTGCTCTTCAGCGGCTTCAATGGCACTTTTCCACCTGAATAGATGACAGTCACCCTTGGGTGATGGGGTAACAGATAGCTGCGCTCAAATATGGCAACAGTCTCAAAGCTCTACAGAATTAACATCCCTACAACCCTGGCCTGCTTGCAAGAAAATTGTTGCCAACATGTAATCCATGTGCTTACGAAGCTAACTAAAAATGTGACAGGAGATTAAGTTCTGCATAAGCATCGGAAACAAATTAGTTTTTTAGAGTCCACACTTGGTCTTTTTGCTAAACATGGATGTTGGAAGACATGAGAAACACAACAAATGAAAAACGGTTTGGGCCCAAGTAGCCATTCTTTGGCACCCAGAGCCAACAAGCACGTCCAGGCGCCTACTGCAGGCAGGGCTGGTGGCTCAGCACTGCAAACAACAGGAAGGTCGTTTGAGCAGCTGCCTGCCCCACCCACACTGTGAACCTTCCCTCTTAGAGCTTTGCTGAGGTACAGGAAAGCTCAAGAAAGAGACCGAGATTCCATTTTATTTTGCTTTGAAACTTTCAACGTTTCAGGAGCTACGCTGACAAGGAAACAAAAGCTCAGTTAACCAGAGTGGGCCACACAGGCTTTCCAAGAGAAAGGGCAACTGCAGCGGCAGCAACTAGGCACAACATTTGCGTTTCAGGAATTATGTGAAAAATTGGGGCGAACCCACAAAAGGATTATGGTGCCATGAAAGCAGCGCAGAGGGGGCTCTGATGAAGAGAAGTTGGGGAAACTGAGGTCTCATGCCCAAAAAGAATAATTCTTATTTCTGTCTCCTCTGGTACGGAAGACCATTTGCTGAGTTAGAATTATCGCCTGGTTGTTCTCCAATTTCCCTGAGGTATAAACAGCAGAAACTGAGTTGAAATTTTAAAAGAATTTTTAATTAAACATTTGGTTTTATTGACCTTGTGAGATCAGACTCAGAAATGAGCTACCAGGGTTTCTGTGGTTTTTGCACTCCCAGGGAAGGAACTTTAACGTGAAAACAACTCTCCGCTCACGCCCACTTAGCTGGCGCTGCTTTTGACCTGAGCAGAGGGCAGCGGTACAATGGTAACGTGATGAAGGGGCCATGGAAGCCCAGTGCCCATGGAAGCCCAGTGCCCAGTCCTAGGTATCTAGGAGTCTTATTTTAGCCTGCCTTCCATTTTTAATGGAGGCATTCAAGGCCTCCATTAAAATGTAAATGGGTAGTGGTGCATCCCTGTAATCCCAGCACTCTGGAAGGCTGAGTCAGGAAGATTGCAAATTCAAGCCGGCCTGAGCCACTGGGTGACTTAGCAAGACCTTATCTCAAAAGATTACAAAAGATATGGGGATGTATCTCAGTTGGAAGGACCTGGGTTCAAAACCCCAGTAATACAAGAAAGGGGAGGAGAGAGGGAGGGAGGAAGGGAGGAAGGAAGGAAGGGAGTCAAATTAGTAAGTTATTTACAGGAACATCCAGAGCAAATCAATTTTGGGTAGAGAAGGAATTGGGGAAATTCAAATTTTTCTGGAAAGAAAAAAATCCAGGTGGGTTCCCACTATCAGTGCCTTCAGGGATCCAGCACAGGGAGCATTCCTGTTTGGTTTCTCCTGTCATCTGCTTTATGTAGCCCCCTTTCCTTCCCTGTGCATCTCTCTACAGTGATCAGCAGCCACTACTCTAGGTGCTGCAGGCGCTGTCCTAGGTTCAGAACACGCCTTTAACACATGCTCCATTTATTTCCCAAAGGAGAGAACTGTTATTTGTGTGCTGCACAGGATTAAATCAGTTATTTCACCTCCTTTAGTACATCAGGACCCTCAGTACTGGAGCAAAATGACACTGCAAGAAAAGCCCTCAGCCCTGAGACACAGGGAGGCCGTGACAGTGCCATCAACAGTCAGCCTGAGCCCCTGTACTGCAGAAATAGAACCCAGGTGAATCCTGCAGGCAGACACTTACTTGTAACTGTGAGAACAACACACTGTTGAAATCCACCAACACCCCACCTTTCTAAAATGGTATTGGGGATTGAAACCAGAGCCTTCCTGCTGAGCTACACCCCTAGTATTTGTTTTTTACTTTTGAGGCAGGGTCTTGCTAAATTGCCCAGGCTGAGCTTGACCTTATGATCCTCTTGCCTCAGTCTCCCAAGTGCTGGGATCACAGGTGTGTGTTTCCATACCCAGTGAAATCCACTTTGATTCACTCTGTCATTGTTTATTAACTTTTCATAATTCCAGGGAGTCTTATTATTTATCCTGCCAACTAGAGGACGGAATCTGAGGATCTTTCTGTCACTTCCTAAGTACTCGTGCAATTATAGTAATTCGTGAGGCCATATATTGACAGTTGTTGCCTCCTATGCAGCTTTCTCATAAAAACAACAGCAACAGTAGTTCCCTGTGGGTATATATAACTCAGGAAGTTCAATCCACTTAGCCATTTAATTTTGCAGTTTTTTTGTCAAAATAAAGTTTAATGTAATAGTATTGTTATTAAAACATTAAAAATCAAGCTGGGCATGATAGCACATGCCTGTAGTCCTAGCTACTCCGTAGGCTGAGGCAGAAGGATCACTTGAGTTCAGAAAATTGAGGCCAGCCTGGGAAATATAGGGAGACCATGTCTCAGGGAAAAAAAAATCACTCTAGTATGTGGAGGAAATAATAGTTTGAATGTTATATAGCAGAATAAAAAGATTCAATACAATATTTACAAGTTGAAATTTTCCAATTCCTACTCATTCATTCATTCATTCATTGGCTGTGATCCTGGAGGTTGAACCCAGGGCAAACAGGGTAGGCAAGCATTCCACCACTGAGCTACACCCCGACTTCCTCCAACCTCTGATCATTACAATGTGTACACTCCAGAAGTTTTTACCAAGTGCCTACATTTTATAGGCTGAGCACAGAACAAAGCTCTCACACATTCTCACCTGGGCTTGAATAAAACCAGACCCTGGAAAGAAATGGCTGTATTCTAAAGAGTCAGCTAGAAACTCACAGCCTAACTTCCCCTGGGGGTGATATCAGGGACAGTTACATTCCGGTGCTGCCTGAAAACTTGCCATATAAATCTGCCTGCAGTACAATCCTACAGGATCTGCCTCCATCAAAACAATTTAAGGAACACTACGCAGTTCAAGGCAAGAGGAACACAGCTGCCCCAGGACCTTCCAGGCAAAGGCAGACACCAGAGCGCAGAATGGAGCAGACACTGCGGAACACAAGTCATTCTGCTACCTCCAGTGGCCCAGGCAAAGGGTCTTCAAAAGCAAACAGTGCTCAGATGTTTCCAGTTGTGGATCAAAAGGCCTCTGAGTACGTGGGAGGAAAGAAGTGTGAGATCATTCATAAATCCATGTTTATTGCTCTCGGACTGGAAGTCAACAAGTTTCTCACGCAAAGACATGGCACTCGCCTGGAGGCGACTCCAGCAACCACAAACTTTGAGGTTCTGGGCTATGCTGTCTGTGTATACTTAGTGACTCATTCCCCAGTGACTGTCACCCCACATCCTTGAAGGCCTGTATCATTCTCCACTGAATTTTTAAAATGTTATTTTAAACTGACAAGTAATTGTTTTATGTATTTATAGGGCACATGGTGATGTTTTTCGATCTATATATACGCGATAGAATAATTCAAGATAGATTGAATCGAGCTAATTAACATGTCTGTCATCTAACCAATTTATCATTTTTCACCACTGTGTTTTGTTCTTTTTTCTCACTTGCACATGGTCTTCTCTGCATTGACTGCAGGATGGAGAAACCCGTTCACTGTGTCTCCACTGGCATTTCCTGGATGCCCTAGGCACTTGAACATATTTCTATCAGCCACCATGCCCTGCTCCTCCACTGGTCCTGGTGAGTATGGGAACTACCTGGGACATTTCCTCTCTTCTTACTTTCCTGATTCCTCCTTTCTTATCTTCCTTCCTGCCGATTCACTTACCCACCTCTTGGCTAGAATTGGCCTCTCCCACCCTCCCTTGTCCAACCTCGCTTCCACATGTGACTACTCCATACCTCTGCCACTTCCAGACTTGTTAGATCTTGGATTCCCCCATGAGATGATACATTCATTCTGTGAGACTACACATTTATTGAGGGCTGGGAACTTGTCTTACCCACTTTTGATGTCCCAGGACAATAAAGCAGTAGGCACTTGAAAAATATTTGATGAATAAGTGAAATATATCTACTAGTATGGCTGACTTTGCAAAATGGAGAATCAGATCACAGCATCGGTTTCAACTCCCAGTTGCGCCCCTCCCTGCCATGTAGGAAAGGTGCGCATACTTTGATATAGATTTAGTTTCAGTTCTTTGTCTACCTCCGAAAACATGGAGACTTATAGAATGCAATTCTCAGACACAAATTTTCTAAAAGTATTTTCAGTATTGTGCTAGGTTTTTAAATATGATTTTAAAATGGATTTAAAGAAAATTTGGAAGGCTGTAAGAGTGATATAAATGGATTTCTCCATAAAATAGAGCAACACTAAACAGTATTAGATAAGTAACAACCCCTATCAAATTCAAATTCCATACTTAATGTCAATAGATGTTCTAGTCTTCATTTCCTTTACTTTTTCTAGCCAATGTGATCCATACTGAATTTGCATATTACTTGTTATATCAATGTCACATATATGACTATTAATCACATAACATTTTACATTATTTTATTACTCTTTATTCACTTACTCAAAACACAACTTTCCCTGAAATAGACTGCTTTCTTTTATTATAGAAATAATCTTAGATCTAGGAATTCCAAAGGAGTAATAGAAAAAACATTTTAGATATATTTATTATGCAGACAACATTGTCAAGATCAGACTAAATTTTATAGTAAAATGTATTAATGTAATACCTTATAACTATTCTTTCATAAAGCTTTCTAAAGTTTTAGCCCCATATTGAAGTCAAATAAAGATTCCTCCATGTCTTAGTAATCATCAGTTCATGTTGTGCCCTCTTAAAGGTCAGTCAGGAAGAATTTATGGTTTAGAAAAATAATCTTTGCTGTGATACCTGCATGTGAATGGGTAGTGTGGACAGATGCCACAGGTGCAAATGATTAGAGAGAATGAACAATGTAATATTTTCTCTTGTGTCCTAATATCATCTTAAAAATAAATTAGAAAGCAGTTGATATAGTAACAATGAGAAAATCAGACATTTTTCATCTCAAAACACATGTTGGTTCTGGTTTATGCTGAGTTAAAGGATATATCATATATCTGTTTCCTATGTTTGAAGAATGAATGTCAGAAAAATATTTCATTAAATACCATGGACATGTAGTCAAAAGCTTGGTGCAAAGTGAACACCTTCCTGGCCACCTTGTCCCCTCAATTTCTTTCTTCTTGCCAGCAGCTGGCATGTGTAGGAGCTGAGCATTTATTGATTAAAATAATGAGCAAACAAATGAAAACAAAACAAAAAAACACTTCTGCTTGTGTTCTAGTTCTTTTATTTTTTCATTCTAATATTTGCCTTTATTTGGCACTTAGCTAATATGGAATGGAGACATTGACCCAAATAAAACTCTAGTTCATAGTTAATATTTGGCATCCCAGCCAGGGATAGGGTGCAAGCCTGTAATTCCAACTACTTGGGAGGCTGGGGAAGGAGGACCCCAACTTTAAGGCCAGCCTGGGAAGCTTAGGAAGACCCTGTCTCAAAACAAAATAGCAAAAGGGTTGGCAGTGTAGCAAATGGGAGGCTCTAGGTTCAAACCCCAGTACTGAAAATAAAAAGTTAGGCAATACAGTTATTTATTCAATGCCTATTATATGCTCTGTATAAACTCAGTGGGTATCTAGAAAATTTTAGATCAGATGTCCTGCCAACTATTACAGTGACTATTAAGGGATACAAAAATAGAAAACAAAATCTATATCCTCTAGGGCTATATAATCAGAGTATTTACTGTTATGTGCTTATATAATTTTTATTGATTTATAAACATACATGTACATCTTTATAATACACATATGTAATTTCTATTCCTATGTCTTCTTCCTTTATAAAGTGGAGATAATATTGGTACCTTGCTGTCAAATACTCTAGAAAAGCTCCTGATCATGGCTGTTGTTACTGCTGCTCTTGCTCCAAAGCCCTGGGGAAGAGAGCACCTGTGAAATATGTAGGCCATCTCCACAGAGGCAGTTTCAAATATTCACCTTTCCCGCCTGCTTTTCCACAGTCTAATTTGGATCCTTCCTTCTGTGTCCCTCCTGAACTCATCTGGGATTTACTGTTTCCCACTCAGTGCCACCAGTAATCATATCATCCCCCTCATGTGAATCTCTGCACTGATTCTGTGCTCACCAAGGCAAGAAAAACATGTAGTAAGATTATGAGATTAATTGATAATTATAAGAAACAATTGATGTACAAAAGATGTACTTTCTTTCCATTATATTAGTCCCCATTATGTCAGTAATGAAAGTACCTTTCTTCCATGGTCAGCTTCAAGTCTGTTTTCAGAATACAGTTAGACATAGCTGAATAAATGATATTTAATGTACTCTTGTATATGCATAGATTGATGTGTTAGTTAACTTTCCATTGCTGAGACAAAAATACCTAAAAATAACAACTTAAAGGAGGAGAGGTTTATTTGGGATCACAGCTTCAGAAGTTTCAGTCCTTGGTAAGTTGGCTCCGAGGTCGAAACATGATAAAGGGTATGGCAGAGGAAGTCTGCTCACCTTATGGCAGCCAGGAAGCAGAAAGAGTTGGTGAGGAAGGGCCTGGGGACAAGATACTGTCCCCAAGGTTACGTCTCTGAGAGGCGCCTCCTTCAACTAAAGCCCCATCTCCTTACAGCCCATTCAGCTATGAACTCATCAATGGACTAATCCGCTGATGAGGTCAGAGCCCTCATGAGCTGGTCACTTCCCAAAAGCCCACACTTTAGATCCAAACCATAACAACCAGACTTATATAAGCTCACAGCAAAATGAGATTAAAATTCCTTTCTCCCTTCAAACACTAAACTGATTTAATTTTCAGCAATCTTTCTCTAGCATCCTTGCCAATTCCATTTATTTAGTCCCAGTCTCTGTATTTTGGATGTTCTCTGAGTGTGTTAGCATGTACAACATGAAAACCTTCTGACTTGAATCTTGAGGTCTCTGCCTTTACAGAGGTCCTAACTTTTATAAGAGTTTAATATAGCATAGCAGATATTTTGGGCAAGTTTAAAACATTTAATCAGAGAAAATTCTTTGGTTGTTCCAGGCTGACTCATGTTTCCTGGAAGTTCAAGTTCTTTTCTTTTTTCCTCATAAAATGTGTGTGTGTGTGTGTGTGTGTGTATGTGTGTGTGTGTGTTTCTTCTGCCTTTCTATTTACTATTCCATTTAATGCAAATAAAATCTCACATTTTTAAGGGAAGCACTGACTCTTTAAAAGTAGAGTTCATATGAGATAATGTATCAAAATTAATTTGCCAATAATATAAATGTTTCAGAGAAATTTTAGTTTTTAAAAGATGCACTTAACTATTCCAATTTCTAAAACAATACAAGTTCTATAAGCAATGTAAAAATTAGTGCCATGTTATAAACAATTAAAATACGTATGCATGAAAATATGTTCCTAATAACTTCTTGATTTTGTTTTTAGGAACCTAACAATTAGTCTGAACTCTTTTCTTTCTCTGTTTTTGTACATAAAGTTTTTATGGACCTTTGCAGGAGTTTAAGTGTATAATTGAAATGGTCTTTGATTGCAATTGTGCTGTTCAAAATTAAAGTGGAAAAATAAACTTGGATCTGGAACATTAAAAAAATTAAATGATGAAGTGCCGGGAGGAAGCCTGGACCCCGATCCACCGCAGGAAGGAGAGCCACGCCTGCTCCCTACCCAGCAGCCATCACTCAAGAGCCACGAAGGTAGCCTCGCAGGCACCCCTGAACCCCCATAAGGTCCCACACACACACACTCTCAGTCCTCCTGACTGTGCCAGACTTTGGACCCACTCTGCAGAGGCAGAGGTAGTCATCAAGGGTATTTTTCTGAGTTACCAACTTTGAACATCTTTGAAGAAAGGGCATGGGAAAGCTATAATAGAATGTTGTGGAGTGCAACCATTCACACGGTTGGGGAACTCAATCTGGGCCCTGCAGGCCGAGGTCAGTCAGTGTCATGGGGTTCAGCCATCAGCTAACTGAGATCAGGGGTCTTGCATCCTCGCTCTGTCTGAGCCATTAAATGGTAAATATACTATATTGAAATTTTGTTCACTGCAGACATGTTCTGGACTGCTTCTTGATTTCAATTATATTCAAATAATTTAAGGGTGATAGACTAGCGACTACCACAGGTGGTCAGTGTCCAAGTTGTGCTTGATCTTAATGTGTCACTGATTGTATCAGTTGGGGTAAAGCATTACTGTTGATTTGATGAGCTGTTTTCTCTGATGTTATGAAGATGAGAATGTCTGTGGGTAATTAGAGACACAGAAGCTAGGGCACAACTATATCAGGAAGATTTGGGTGATAATTCAGAGAGTAAACCAAGGACAGTCCGACAACAAAAATTAAAATGAGAAACACTTAAGCAAGACACAAGGACAGACTTCCAGTTTACCAATGGCAAGCAGTAGGGCAAATGAGGATGAAAAGGCCAATAGTGAACCACCAGGACACCCTGAACTCAAAGCACAGGAAGTAACAAAACAGATCAATCAGGCTCTAGAAAAATTCAAAACAGAAATAATTTCCCAGATAACCATAGAGATAGTGAGCAAAATGGAAGTCATGAGTCAAGACTCTAGAGCAGAAACTGACAAAAAAATAGATGAGCTCAGGACCATGATAGAAGCCATGAAGCCCAGCATAAGAAAGA